TGCTTCATATGGGCATTACTCTATGTGATTCACATGTGCTTCAAATGGGCATTACTCCATGTGATTCACATGTGCTTCATATGGGCATTACTCTATGTGATTCACATGTGCTTCAAATGGGCATTACTCCATGTGATTCACATGTGCTTCATATGGGCATTACTTTATGTAATTCACATGTGCTTCAAATGGGCATTACTCTATGTAATTCACATGTGCTTCAAATCTGCATTACTCTATGTGATTCAATTGGGAATCACATTTGAAATCTATGGTAACTTTATGTGGGAAACAGGAACATGTGGAAGATGGGAATCACATCAACACAATATTTCATGGGATTTTTTTGTTCAGTCTCAATGAAGGATCTCTATCAGAATCTATGGATCTTACCTGTTGTGTTGCTGCGCCTCTACAGGATCTTCTACGTCTCGCACGATGCCCAAGACCTGAAGATATTCAGTTATATTGCCAGAGACGGAGAGAGCAACGTTTTTCGCTGCAATGTCTTTAAATCTAAACGGAAGGTGAGTGGAAGACCTCAGGTTCTTAATATCTCAATGGCAAGAATAGAATAGAACGGAATAGAATAGAATAGTTTTTTTTTTTTCATTTTCTGACACATTAGGGAAAATCGAGGTGTCAGTGAATCCATACAGGTACATAAGACTATGAAATCAAACAAGACTCTTAGAACATGTACTGTAAGTAAAATAAACAAAACACATCTCAGACAAAAAATGCATATTTACATCTAATAAAAATATTTTTAAAAATGCATCTAGATTACATGTAAAATTAAAAGCTGAGAAAATAACAGCTTGTTTGAGAATGGATCAGGCAGAAGAACTGAGAGTAAGGCGAGATCTTACTGAAGTTGCTTAATTCATGTAAGGTTATTTGATCATCTATTTTCTTTTGATTCAGTTGCAGATGTTTTTTTAAGTTTTCAAAACTGTTAAAAATTGTTAAATCATGGATCTTTATACAACTCCCTCTAGACTTCTAATCTGGAGCATTCCATTTTTCTGGAGTGAGTGTTTTTATCAATTGCATCTGTTTCTTTGTGTGATTGCAGCATTTTGTTTGTGGCTGCAGCAATTTTTTATTTTAGTTTTTGTTTTTAAACCAACTTTGATTTAAACTATTCTTTGATGTAAGTAATGACTGAAAATTGCAGCTCTAAAGGTCTGGATGTTTTGATTCAGTAAACAGACTTCCCAAGCGAGGTATTTGAGATGAATTATGAGGCCGACATGTTGTGTTTTCACAACATTTCCGCCTGTACTTTTCCAGTACAAGAGTCTTTCAGTTGCATTGTATGCTTTTAAAACAGGTAGGATACTTTCCCAATGTTGTCTAATTTGTAGATGCATCTTTGACCACCTGTAGCCATGAGTAAAGAACATAAAAATTCTTTCCATTTCCTTGCAACATTCCTCAAAGTTCCTATACAGGTCCTTCTTGAACCACCACACAACAGAAGTCAGGAAGCAAGGACATCCTTTGTGATGACCCCAATGCATGCAGACACATTTTAATAGCGGGGAGTGTTGGCCTGGTAGTTACAGCAGTGCACTTGTGCTCTGAGAAGTTTGCAAGTACCCGGTTTGGTTCCGACAACCTCCACTCTGGGTTTCTAAACAAAACCCTTAACCCCTGATTGCTCCCTGGGTGCCACACAATGGCAGCCTACTGCTCCCCAAGGGGATGGGTTAAAATGCAGAGAACAAATTTGCACATTGTGGGACAATAAAGGGATTTACATATTTAGTCATTGATTTTGTAGGATTGGCTCCTAGATGAGCATGTAGTGACAGATATTTGTTTTCATTGTGTCGCTGAATCTACAGCAATACCTCACTGAGAGCATGCATGCAGTGACTGTGGAGAGAAAAGAAATGTCCTTATAAATTGGAAGAAATTTTCGCAGAACCAGGCTCAGTGTGAGCGGCTTTCTGCTGAGGCTGGCTGGGGTTCAAGTAGACAGAAGCACACAAGAGGAATATAGAAGCCCTGATCCATGATTACTTACCAAGTTAGAAAAGGTAACAGTAACTAGCAGCTATTTCTTGGAAAGAAGGTTAAGCAGACAAGCTCTGAGTTGGTTTTCATGGTAAAAACAATGAAAGATAGCACACAGTCACAGTGAAAGATGAGCCCATAGCTATGTCTAGGCGAAGAAACAGGACTAAACACTGAAAAACAGCCTATCATCTATGGTGAAAGTTGTTGGTAGCAGCCTACCTGATGCCTCCCTCCAGGTGTAATAAGCTCAGAATGTAGTACCCAGAATTCGAGACGAGACAGACAATGGGGATTCAAAGCGTTTATTTAAATCACAACAGAACTCGGAGCATTAAAAGAGCTCTCACCACTGATCTCCAAAAATGAGGACATGAACAAAAACATGAGCTATGAACTCAAAGTAATACTCAAAACAAAGTGTCAGCAACAATGTCAATGATCTGGTCCAGATAGCTGGGACTGATCCGTATATAAAGCAGCAGGAGCAGGTGGATGAGATGAATGATAATGGGTAACCGGGCAGCGTTAGGCAGGTGAGTGAAATAAACAAATTAGGTCAGCTACATGTATCTATTTTAACTCTTCCCTATTATGTTATTCTTAGACATATTTCTAAGGTCTAAGGGATTTTCTATTGTATTCTATAAAATGTGTAGAAAGATATAGGAAAATCTAAACAATGTATGTATAAAAAAAATATCTGCAAAATCTCTAATATTCAACAACAAAACATACTTAGTTAAGCATATTGTGCAAAACAGCAATAAAAAAATAAAAATCCAATCAAATGTACAGTCCCCACTCAGCAGCTGTATTAGAATCTGTCCTTAAATGAGAGCCAAACTCATTTACACAGATAAAAACTTTTAGATAAACCAAACATTATATATTAGAAATACACATATCTGAATCAATAACCATTAAAACAAGTATTTTTATTCATCTCAGACGAAACTATTCACATACTTGTATTATATTAAACTGCACTTCCAATATTCACCACTGTTCGGCACCAAGTAACCTTTCATCTGATCACGGAGCAGCCGGCTTTCTTGGTCTTTCAATGAACCCTGGGAAAACCAAGGATACCGAGCATACATCGGACCCGTCTTTCAAATCGGGCTAAAAAAGGATTTTAAGGCCGCATAACGAAGACTCTTGGAATCCAAACAGACCTCGGCGCAGCGCTATGAAGTAATCGTCCTTCGAATCTGGCCTTCTAAGGACGCATCCCATGAATTCGAACAGGGCCAGGTTGTCTGCCTGATGGACTAAATATGATAATTGTGTCAGGTAAAGTGGAGGTTTGAAGAGGATCCAAATGCAGAGACTGAAGCTGAAAATACCAAAATACAGAAAAACGAAAAAACATCAGCGAAAACTCACATGAAATGGCAAGGAAATGATGACAAGGAACCAGCAAACACTGACTGAAGAGGAGGTGCATATATGGGAGACTGAAAAAAAGACCAGGCTAATCAGTAGATTGGGAGCAGGTGTGGACAGGAGAACCTAGAAGGGAGCTAGGAAAACGAGACTGACACAAGACTGCAACAGAGGGTAAACAAGAAATACATTAGCACTCAATCTAAAATAACTAAAATAACGGAATAATGGAAATAGAACCAATAAAAACTCAAACGCAAAACCCTGGGAACTTGGTTCAATAGGAGAGGAGCCTGATAACTAAAATATCTGTACTTCATGGAACCACATCTACAGCTGTTTGTTAAAAAATGCGCTGATGTTATTTTTGGGACCAAGCTTTGATGCAAATGTGTCTATTTTTTATTATTTTATAAAAGGAAAATTTATATTAAGAAATACATTGTATATTCTCATATAGATCAAAATATTGAGGTACAATTTTTGGTCCATATTGCCAGCCCTAGCTCTGATTGATGACAAGCATACAAAGACAAACTTAACTTTTCATATTGTTTAAAATCTTAACCTTTATTTATTATTTTTTATTTCGAATGTCCTAAAACCTTTACATACTTTACTAACATTCTGTTACATAAAACTAAAACAAAGTTGGCACATTTACCTAGAATCAACCAGCCATTTTTTCTCGTTAGATTGGATATAAAATGCTGCACTCTTTGACATTGTGTTACAGGTGTGAACATTCCTATGACAACCAAGGTTGCAGTACAGGCAACTATTAGAGAATAACAGATTGAACAGAAGAAACTTGGCAATTTAATTGACGGGATAATTGGTTTTGCATTTTGTACAGCAATGTTTTCAAGTAATCTTCTACCCGTATTCTCTCAGTGTTAAACTGGGGTGTCATATTCACCTAGACCATATCAGCTGCAGTTGTGATACAACTTGTTTCAGCTGCCATGTCTATAAATAAACCCTACAGAATGGATAAGCTTCTCTGTGTGGCTATAATTTCCACTGGATAACTGTCCTTCTCTGTTGTTGCATGAAAGCAAAAACAGAATATCAGTCCCAAAGCTCAGCTGGCCAGCCGCTCTCATTGCAGCCTTCTCTAAAGGCAGTTCTACTGGGAGTCTTTTTCCTCTCAAATTGATTTATCACTCCACTTGTCCTCCACTTTATGCATCCCATGCACCCTGCTGCTTCTGTCTCCTTGATGGCACTGACCTCTCCTTTGAAGTTACTGCTGATGCCAGATCACGATCAAGCTGCCAGCTTTCCTTTACCTGAGTTCTGTCACAGCAGTGGCTCATACCTTTTTTATGGCTTTTTCTTTTTTTCCTCATTGACTGCCAGGACCTGTGGCAGTGTCACACAGAAACCCGGCTACATCCTATCTCCACTCCGAGATAGAGAGCAGAGAGAGGTTTTTTGTCCTGACAGTTATAGGTCACTGCACATCCTCCTATACTTGTCAGAAAACCTTTTTCTCATATAAAATATTATCTTGCTCTAACGACATCTCTTATCTGTAGATTAGTGGTGAAACTCGATTAAAAGTTAATTACACGGTCTGTAATCGCATTTTAATATGGTTTTCTATTAAAAACCCTTTTCATTCCTTATGTATTGAAGAATCAAACATATGATCACAGTAACAAAAATATGCATTGTTTTGAATCAATTTTTTGGTTATTCAGCCCTCAGGTGGTTGAAAGTTATAATTATTTTGCCTTTTTTTTTTTATCCATAATATTTTATAGAATGTATTTCAAACACTATTTATTTAGTAGTTTTAACAGTATATGAACATTCATTATAGCACAATTCTGTCTATTGAATAAGGTAAACACTAAACAGCAATAAGGAATAAACTAATCTTAACTTTATGAGTAACTTAACTTAAATCAAATTAAAAAGTAAATAGAAGTATAAGTTCCATTTCCCCTACAACAGAAGTGTAACAGTAAAGCCATGCATATAGCATTACCTGTCAGAGTTTAACATTTGCAAATCAAAATGCAACATTTTGTGCATTTAAAACACACATACAACTGAGGCGAATTTTCTCCAGGTAATAAAAGAAAATAAACAAAAAATAAACAAT